CAAGGCTTCAAGTCTGCGGATGTTGCGTCGAAAATTTCACTTTAAATCTTCTCATTTCACTTCGCGCTTGACTTATACATCGCAAATTAGCAAAGAAAAGAAGGTTATCAGTGAATAAAACCAAACGCCGTCTATAAAACCCACGCTGAGGAAGGTACGTAAACATGTAAAAATATGCCGTCATACTCGCTAGGCTCTATAGCAGTATATATTTAAATGCGACATCTCGCTTACAAATACAACTTGAGACTGTACTGCTCCATTATGAATTAATGTATTGTTCATAACCGTCATTTTATTGACAATAAGAGATGCCTGGTACACCTCCGACTCTATAGTCACTAAAGGACGTATTGTAATCAACACAGATACCGACCAAACCTCTTGGCTATAGACTGCTCAATTATACGCAACCTGGGCTTCGATTAAGTTCCTTTGATAGCTTTGGATCCCACACAAACCTTGGATTGGAAGTGATACCGTGTGGATATTGACGATACACGGGCAGTCTCACCAACTACAGTATGTGCTTGAGGGCCTCAGAGGCCATTTTGAAATGAAATGCATCGAAACCCGTAAATTCTTTTCCCAACACCTCACACACGAGCATCACACGTAGAGAAATTTGTGGGACTTTGTTGAATTAGCGATGCACTATTTTGTTCCTGTTTGTGTTATTCTAAGCTAGTATGACCCAGAAAAAAAGGGAGTGTTAGTGATACTCCAGAATGAGTGTCACTATTTCGAAAGTATGACCTCACGACTTTATATTTTTTATAAATTACGGCCTATTCATTTTTATAAGGTGGACTAAGTTTCTTATGACCGTTGATAATGAGTGTTGTACTCTCCTCCGATATCATAATGTGTGAATTCTTACTTTTAAAATACCTAACATTTTAAAGAGGCAGATATCTTGTTGATAATATTTCACCCTCATGTAACCCAAGCTGTGAATAGCCTTTGGTCAGAAATATCCAAATATCAATATAAATGCATGTGGGAAAAAGCCAATAGATTGAATATGACTAAACCATGTTATTATGTGTGTATAAACCAGGTTATTTGGCCAACCTGACAACCAGTTCCTGCACTTCAAAAACAAAATTAATCCTAGTTACGTGACCCGCCAACAAATGTAAACTTTCAGAAATATTCAACTCTCATTCGGCGGAATTCTATCCCAATTCTCTTAGCTTTTGTCATGCGAGTTTCAAGAAGCCTAAATAATTAAATTCAGCTGAAAACACAGTGGATAAAAATTATTCTTCCAAATTAAATAAATTTATCATTACTTGAAATCGAGTGCGATTCGAAGTTTAAAATCTTAGCGAAAATTCCTACGAGTAATTTTCTGCAGCCGGCGAGTCTTGTCCCGAATTTCCAGTCTATAAATCTTGAGCTTCCGTAAACCTCTTGACTCGACAGTAGGTAATTGTTTTGTATTGTTAGTCTGACTTACTAAGAGCGAATCTTAGCACTACAGGTCTGCAGATCTCTGCAACAATAGACCAGAATTGAGGCTACAAATCTGCAAGACAAAACATCTCTGACAGGAAACAGTGCGACTATCTCCTATAGTCAAAACAATACCGTTCTGTATTAGAGACGATCTTGAAAGCGATAAATTTCTTAGAATGTTGGAGTATTTTTGCGTCATCAACAATGCCGCTCACTAAATACGACGAGCATGCATAAAAACATATACATGAAAATAAAATTGCTTCAGTTTTTGAATGGAGACAATCGACACATGACATGAGTTTTTAAGACAAAACTACAATGCGAATTGCAATTTTTTGGCAGAAAGATTCATTTTTTATACAGTCAGTCAATGGAACAAACTTTGATGTAGAGATTCTGAGAGAAATATGACAAAGTTTTGTTTTAAAATTTGAGCGTCACCGGCCTCGAAATCTGGTGATTTTATTTGTCGTACATGTAATAAAATATCAAGTTATTCAAAAGATAAAGTTCCAACAGTATATTAGTACCAAGTTCTAGTTTACGCTATCCGCTCATTTTAACAAATACGAAGCCCTTCGATATTTGCAGAAATCCATCCACTATGCGTCTTTTCTGCAACAAAAATTACCACTTCTAAGGGGAGCGTCTCGCCTAAAATTTATCTCAGTAATTTACAGAGGGATCAATCTGAAATTTGGTACACATGTGTAAACCCTAAAATAAATAAAATAAAACAGGTTTTATTCGTGTCAATTTTTCGAAAAAATTGAAAGAAAACGTGAAATTCTTAGAAAACGACCAAAAAGGGGTACTTTAGAAAAAGGTACCGTTGGATAGGGCAGAATGTCAGCTTTAAAATGAGTATAAAAACCGAAAAAGTGAACATTTTCAATTTTAGGCGAGACGCTCCCCTTAAATCTCAGATTAAAAAATTACAATGTGATGGGCTTTGCATGCAGATTAAACTGATATTTTATTATAAGTCTTTCTGGTAATCAACGGAATTGAATAATGTTTCGAATGAAGAATGGCCTCTCTTTGGTCTCCCACATATTTCTCTCCATTCCTATAATACTTAGGAAGACATTTAAATCAATGTAAAAAAGGATTTGCAAGACATAAAAATAATATTTCGATGTTTTTCATTGAAATATCAATTCCGAAATTATCTAAGGACTTGTTATTTGTATGGTTTCAATTCCTTCTTGTAAACTTAATGGATTTTTTAATTAGATATGAATATACCCATGCAAACGAGTATGTCGGAAATTAACCAAAATGAACTCGCCTATTCCTATATATCGAATATAAAGGAATAGGCGAGTTCATTTTGGTTAATTGATGAGCTGAATAATCCATGGTGTCGGAAAGTTTTATTTCCATTTACGCATGAACTACAGCATGAAAATTCGTCTATTGTATTTTCCCGTGAGGCTGAATGATTTATCGAATTAAAAATGAATACACTGGACGCCTGTATGCCATTGGTGCTCGCTCATTTCTTTGAATCTCTAAAGGCAACAGAGCCGCCTAAACTTATTTCAAAATTTATAAATAAAGAATCAAAAACATAATTTATAATTTCTATTGAATTTATCACCATTAATGTCGAGAAAATGTTGGAGCAACGCAATTACGGAATATAGGAGATAATCGAATCCAACTTCTTTGTTAATTCGGGTTACTTCATCTTCAAACATATTTTTCGTAAACTGTGTTTTTGAAGGCTTTCTGTGTACAATGAACGATGCGCCGCGTAACGTTAACAAGATTTCCTGAATAAATGAAGAGTTTCACAATTAATGATTTAAATTATTCCTCAACCACTCTAAGCAACGCAGGATTAGAATTTTGCAGAGAACACTTCATATAAAAATTTATTTAGAGATCAAAGTTTGGGTAAGTTGCCACTGCGCTAAAACTTGACTCTGAATTCCAATGAGAATATACAGATTTTGAAATTCATCACAGTTGCTCTTCAGCACAAGGATCGTGCAAGTACAGCCTTGATTGAGCTTCAAATCGTTACGAACTTAATTCTAATTACTCTCTCTAAATAATAATAAAAAGACTTATGTCATGTCTTTTCATAATCATGAGCAAGACGCCTGTAAGAAATCAAACTTAAATTCCTATCAGAGCATATACTCATAATGAGCCTACGTGTGAAAAATGCCTTTATATCTGCTAGAGCAACTCGTACCAGCCTGACTAAGGAATAACCATTAGTTTATCTGTGAATGTGATCACGAGACTACATGTGAAGCAATACTTATATCTGCTTGAGCAAAAAAATCTTTATGAGTTTATACGTGAAACAATAGTTATATCTGCTTGGGCTAATAAACCTTCTGAGTTTACATGTGGAACAATACTTATATCTGCTTGAGTAAACGATCCTTATGAGTTTACATGTCAAACAATACTTATATCTGCTTGATCAAATAATCCTTATGAGTTTATACGTGAAACAATACTTATATCTGCTTGAGCAAATAACCCTCATGAGTTTACATGTGAATCAATACTTGTATCTGCTTGGGCAAATAATCCTTTTGAGTTTACATGTGAAGCAATACTTATATCTGCTTGAACAAATAATCCTTATCCGTATACATGTAAATTAATACGTATATCATCTTAAACAAAGAACAATCATGCATGAGTTTACATGTGAACCATTACTCATATCTTCCCTCAGACGCCCGTGAGCCAGAACGTGAGCGAGAGCACCGTGAGCCTCGTGGCAGGGCCAGGCGACGATGGAGCACAGCTTGTCTGCAAGGCGTTCTCTACCAACCTGCCTGGCACTGTGTTGCACGACCAAACCATCCTCGCTGTAAACTGTGAGATCAGACTACATTCAAATGTTTAGATAATAAATCTTAGTGGAAAATATCAATATCTTCATGCTCAAAGTGAACACTGTAATAGACACTGATCTCAACCTGCCTGGCACTGTCTTGCACGACCAAACCATCCTCGCTGTGAACTGTGAGATTAAACTACATTCAAATGTTGAGATATTGAATCTGAGTGGAAAATGTCAATATGTTAATTCTCAAAGTGAACACTGTTTTAGGCACTGATCTTAACCTGCCTGGCACTGTATTGCACGACCAAATCGTCCTCGCTGTAAACTGTGAGATTAAACTACATTCAAATGTTGAGATATTAAATTTTAGTGGAAATATCAATATCTTTATTCTCAAACCTACTGCACTGATCATAACCTGCCAGTACCATATTGCACATCCAAACTACGCTAGCTGTCAATTTCGAGATCAAACTATTCTGAGATTCAATAATAAAAATGGCTGTCTCTTATACACATCTAGATGTGTATAAGAGACAGGATAAGGTGTAGTGTGAACAGAAAATTGTATCGCTCATGATTCGCAGAATTAACTTAAAAATCTTTACCTATCAAGTCACTAGATGATATACATAGACTGTCTCTTATACACATCTAGATGTGTATAAGAGACAGACTTAGAAGAAAGCANAATTACAACAATGGGGGGACGAAGAAATTTGGGGAATTATGGACTCGGGAAACGAGAGTAAACAAAAGTCCTTAAACGATGGCAAAGAAGCAGGAGATCAAAACGCCTTTTCGGTGAGCGGAAAAAGCCCCACAACTCGAGCGTGGTTTGATACCTCCACTTCTCCAGCTCATCTTCTCATAAGAAACGTTTCAGGGAGAGATGAAGGGAGCTATCGATGCAAAGTCCACTTCAGACATTCTCCATCTTGGTCTCAGAGAATTACACTCTCTGTTAAAGGTAAGCATGCGGGATATGAATACTTGAAAGAATAAATTTGACGGAACGGTGCAAAATAATTAACAAATTTTCCCAATCTGAAAAATGCAAGTTCTATTAACATTAAATGCGTGTACTATTATTTGATGACCCAGATGTGAAGTGACTTAATCTTAATTAAGATTACAGACACTTTAATGCAACAATATATTTCGCCGGCGTCCAGTACAGCTTAGCGCGATTGTTATTAATTTTTTTTAAGAATTCGAGCCAAGATTATTGCTTCAAGTTTATTTTATTATTATTTATCATGCAGTAATAAAACTATATATTACTTAAACAGTTTTTTACTGCATCAAGATTATTTTTATTTTCTATCATAACCTCGGAAATGCACAGAAATACTATGATATTTTCATAAAAATTGTTTCGCGTCATCAGTTGTTCTTCAAAGAAATTTCAAACAATATTATACTCAACATCGTATAAATTCAAAAGCTCATATTACCTAGAAAGCAAAAATTTTCAGCAAATGAAAGGCGTAGTAGTCCTAGAAGGATATTTTCTATTGATACTTGATTTTAAATCATATTTGGACTCATCAACACCGCAGGATGTATTATTCATCTACTATTTTTATGATTAAACTTTCGTAGAACATCTCAGGAGGATTTGAATCAAGGATTTAGCTGTCTTGAAACAGTTACACTTTGTGATTTGAATCGACATTCAAAGACATATTAGTTACCTTCCATTATTTTACGATCAAAGTTTCGTAAGAGATCTCAATTCTGAATCAAGGATTTCATAGTGTCTTGAGGCTGTCACATTTTGGGATCTGAAGCGAGTTTGCTGCGCAGATCCTCCAGGCTTCCCGAGGATTCAGACAGAATCCGGTGCTCGGCTCGAGGGTCCCATTGGTCCCTTCGAGGATGGCACCGAAATACGCTTGGTTTGCGTCACGTCTGGAGGTGAGACTCGGGTATTCTTAGAGTAAAATGCAAGGTACTCAAGGCAGTAATTTTGTAATGAGAATAAATGGGCAGTAATAAAGGAGGTAGTAATAAATTAAGTAAGTTGTAATATTATAGCCATGGAAAACTCTGAGAATTATTCGGATAGATAAAATGATTATTAGAATCTTGGAGCAAAATGCAGGGTGTTCAAAACGGGCATCTTAAATAATTCTGTTAAATTTTAGCCATGGGAAACTTAAAGAATTGTTCGGATAGATAAAATATCTATTGGTATCTTAGCGCCAAATACACGGTACACTAACACGTAATTTCGTTAAATTATTACCACGGAAAAATCTAGGAATTCTTCAGCTAAATAAAAATATTCTGTTAAACGCGATTAAAGTTCATGATTCTTAACAACAAAGTTTAGGACAGTTTGGCCCGATATTTGCAGAGCGGCAAGACGCGGACGTTCACAATGAAAGTTTTTTTATTGTAAGGCTTTATAAACTTATACAAACTCTTGCTAGATAAGAGTTTGCTAAAAGAAGTTCAAGCGTCACTTGTAGAAGGGATTTAAAATTTATATTTCTTTGAATGTTTCAAATGTCTCCATGATGATATTAGTGTTGAACAGGCCTTGGGGTACCTAGAGAATTTTTCTGTTGTCACGCCTCCGATTTCGGTTAAATTAAATAAAATAGAATAGTTTTGTGATATCCGTGTTGTCTCGTAGGATATGCTTTGCAGAGCAAAGTCTAAAGGAAACTAAGTGAATATCAAAATTTTGATTGAACTCAATACTGATGCAGCATTTACTGACTTGCATTCCATAATATATCTTGCCCAACCAAATTCTAACCTTCATTGCACAAGATTTCCTGCTTAAATATATTCACATTTGTCTCGCCTGATCCCGGATCAGACGGTTCTGCTCGCCTGGCTTGGGGTGGTGACATCACACAGGCGGGATCTGTCGCCCGTGAGTCGTCTGATCCCGCAAATCTCGCCCGCCTGACGTTGATGGCATCACGCGCTACCGCAGACTCCAGAGTGACGTGTTCAACGCTCAATTCAACGGCACACACGCCCACCTTCACTGTTGAAGTTATCATCAGAGTCAACTGTGAGTCTGCCAAGTCAACTCTGCATGTGTATACTTCTGTGTCAATTCTGTCGGTGTTTTTTTATGTCACTTGTGTGTGTGTTAGAGATAGTTAAGTTAATTCAATAAAAATTGCTTACCTTTATTACCAGGAATTGTTATTTTGTAGTTTTCCTTCTACCTTCTATCGCAAATCTATCTTCGTCTATCGTAATCTAACTTCGATCATTTAGTTTTTATTTTACCTGCAGTGACGCCACTCTCTGTGATGTTGCTATAAACTATACTAAAAACCATAAATTTTATAGNTTCTACACAAAACTACAATGCGAATTACAATTCCTTTTGTGGAAAGATTCATTATTTATACAGTCAGTCAATGGAACAAACTTTGATGTAGAGATTCTGAAAGAAATGTGCCAACGTTTTGTTTGAAAATTAGAGTGTCACCGGCCTCGAATCTGGTGATTTTATTTGTCGTATATGTAATAAAATGTCAAGTTATTCAAGAGATAAAGTACCAACAGTATATTAGGACCAAGTTCTAGTTTACGGGATCCGCACGTTTAACGCATATGTACTGTATATACGATGCCCTGCAGTATCAGCAGAAATCCATCCTCTATGGGTCTTTTATGCTACAAAAATTACCACTTTTAAATCTCAGATTAAGAAATTACAATGTGATGGGCTTTGCATGCAGATTCATCTGATACTTTATTATAAATCTTTCTGGTAAGGTAATAAACGGAATTTAATAATGTTTTTAATGAAGAGTGGCCTCTGTGGTATTCCACACATTTCTCTAAATTCCTATAATACCTAGGAAGACATTGAAATCAATGTAAAAAAGACTTTTAAAGACATAGAAATAATATTTCGATGTTTTTCAATGGCATATTAATTCTGAAATTATCTAAGGATTAGTTATTCATTTCTACCTATTCTGCATGCTTTTAATCCACTCGTGACACCTTGATGATTTTTTATTAGATATGAATAGATCCATGCAATCGAGTATATCGGAAATGAACCAAAATGAACCTATATGAACCAAAATGAACCTATTCCTCTATATCGAGTATAAAGGAATAAGCGAGTTCATTTTGGTTAATTGATGAGCTGAATAATCAACTCATATCTTCCCTCAGACGCCCGTGAGCCAGAACGTGAGCGAGAGCACCGTGAGCCTCGTGGCAGGGCCAGGCGACGATGGAGCACAGCTTGTCTGCAAGGCGTTCTCTACCAACCTGCCTGGCACTGTGTTGCACGACCAAACCATCCTCGCTGTAAACTGTGAGATCAGACTACATTCAAATGTTTAGATAATAAATCTTAGTGGAAAATATCAATATCTTCATGCTCAAAGTGAACACTGTAATAGACACTGATCTCAACCTGCCTGGCACTGTCTTGCACGACCAAACCATCCTCGCTGTGAACTGTGAGATTAAACTACATTCAAATGTTGAGATATTGAATCTGAGTGGAAAATGTCAATATGTTAATTCTCAAAGTGAACACTGTTTTAGGCACTGATCTTAACCTGCCTGGCACTGTACTGCACGACCAAACCATCCTCGCTGTAAACTGTGAGAGCAAACTACATTCAAATGTTAAAATATTGAATCTTAGTGGAAAATATCGATATTTTTATTCTCAAACCTACTGCACTGATCTTAATCTGCCAACACCATATTGCACGAATAAACTACGTTATCTGTCAATTTCGAGATCAGACTATGCTGAGATTCAATGATATAAATGGTAACAAATGGCTGACAATTTGGTGTTGAAGATATCTCCACAAATATTAACGAGTCAGGATTGAAATTTATTTAAACCCCGCGCGCACCAGCAATCTGAAGATCGAAATCAAATGATTTGAATTTCTAATACAAAAGCCAATAATAAAATTATCCACGTGTTCGAGGTTAAATAGCATAAAAAATGCAACATTCCATATATGCTGCAATTTTGGTAAAAATCTTTTTCTTGCTAGATAACTAGTTGCTTAATATGTTTTAGATGCTTTTTCGAGCTAAAGTAAATCCATCAAAAAATGGATAACTTTTCAACTAGAATATGTGCGTTGATACGAAAATTTAAGTGCACTAAACGTAGAATTTCGTATTTTTAAAGACATTTAACTGACGTCAGTGGGAACACTTATCACAAATTACGTTTATACTCATCTTGTTGTTTCCACTAAGAATAAAATAATTCATTAATGAAGATATCATTATTATATTTGTTTTGGATGACGTCGCCACTTCTGCAGTCAGCTTCAAGCTGCAAATCCACTGCACTCTAATCTACACAATGAATACATTATACGTACGATTATATTAAGATCAATACAGGCAACAGCCAATTATAAATTGCTATGAGAAGTGTAACGTATGTCGCATGCTTATTCCACTAACTTTAACTATCCCTATACAAACAGTCTTGTGAGATTCTTAAATAAACGTCCTGAAATTTTTATAACATTCTCTGGCATAAATACTCATGCATTAATAAAATGTTCATGAATATCGTTAAGTAGGTTTCATTGAAGACCAGAGAATTCGTTTTATTGGCAATTTTCTTATTAGTTTAAAAAAATAATAAAATGAAAAAATTGTCAATAAAACGAGTTCTCTGGTCTTCAATGAAACCTGCTTAAAGGAACAAATTTTGCCAAAATATACGATTATCGTTAATTATACCGTGACTGCTCCGAAGTGTACGTAATTTCAAAATGCACGCATTTCTTCACTAGGATTACTTTGAATCCTAAACTTCATCAAAAATATTATTCATGTTACCACAGATATTCCAGTGGCAACTTTGAACGTCGCTACGGGCGTGACGGGCTCGGGTGGCACGTCAGACAACAACGTCGTCGAGGACCTGGAGCAGGTGACGAGCAGTCGGGCCCGTCCTGGCGAGAAAACCAGCATCACCGTCAGGGAAGGAACGACCGTGGCCATGACGTGTCACGTCATCGCTAATCCTTCTGTTTATAATGTTACTTGGTTCCATAATGTGAGTAACATCAGGAATAATCCTTCTGTTTATAACGTTACTTGGTTCCATAATGTGAGTAACATCAGGAATAATCCTTCTGTTTATAACGTTACTTGGTTCCATAATGTGAGTAACATCAGGAATAATCCTTCTGTTCATAACGTTACTTGATTCCATAATGTGAGTAATATCAGGAATAATCCTTCTGTTTATAACGTTACTTGGTTCCATAATGCGAGTAACATCAGGAAAGCGTTATATCAATTTCAAGTGGGAATAAATAACTGAGTTGTAATGTCACTGTGCATTTTTTTATGTCTATTGCCTATTGGCATGCTCTATGTATATCATCTAGTGACTTGATAGGTAAAGATTTTTAAGTTAATTCTGCGAATCATGAGCGATACAATTTTCTGTTCACACTACACCTTATCTACTAATTATAATTGACGGTCTATGATATAGTAACTTTATTATAATTTCACGCCCGATTCACCATTTTCATTGTAACTTTCACTGTTATTGACATTGCACCCATCCCCTTCCCACACGCAGGGCAAACCTGTGTCGGGACCACGTTTTGGTTTGGGTGTTCGGGGCGACTCTCGCCTGCTGCGACTGCGGGCAATAACGCGTGACAAACGCGGCCTCTACACGTGCGTTGCCAGCAACGATGAGGGCGACGGACAGAGCAACGCCGTCAACATCAACGTAGAGTGTGAGTATAACTTAATAACGCGTGATAAACGCGTGCGTTATCAGCATTGCGTTGCCAGCATCGCGTTCCTGGCAACGCGTGTGTTGCCAGCAACGACGAAGGCGACGGCCAGAGCAACGCCGAAATTACGCCGTCAACATCAACGTAGAGTGTGAGTGCAAACCACCCACTACTCAGTACCATTGGTGAGCAGTCCGCTAACCCAATAACCGTTAATTAGCGAAACTGACATTTTCCTTAGCCGGTGTGCCACACTGATGGCTGACTGCGTCAATATATGTACGTCAACCAATCACGTCTTGGGTAACCCATGACGTCTTTTGTTACACAAGACGAGATTGGTTAACGTACATATGTTGACGCAGTCAGCCATGAATGTGGCACACCGGCTATAGAAAAGTCATCTTCGCTAATTAGCGGTTATCGGATTAGCGAACTGTGCCTACCACGGCTCTGTTCTGATACCTCGTCCAGTTGCTGGCACCCGCTTTCGTGCTGCTTCCGTTACAAAACTTCATTAATCACAAACTATTATATCTTAACTAAGAATTTAAAAGAAAAGAAAAGTCCACAAAAATTCATATCTTTATAGAAAACGTTTCGCAGACCAGCTCCATCGTCAGTTCGTAGAATCTATTCTAGAATCACAAATCAGAAGTCACAAATTAATACATTGAAAGCACAGAACGAAATTAAAAACCTAAATTTACGAGTAAAAGACGGAGCAAAAAAACTATCTATTTGATTCTAGATTTGATATTTATCTATTTTGTGGTTCTAGATTCTACGAACTGACGATGAAGCTGGTCTCCGAAACGTTTTCTATAAAGATATGAATTTTTGTGACTTTTCTTTGCTTTTAAATTCTTATGTGAGTGCAAACCACCCACTACTCAGTACCATTGGTGAGCAGTCCGATAAACCGCTAACCGCTAATTAGTGAAGATGACGGTTTCCTAAGCCGGTGTGCCACACTGATGGCTGACTACGTCAACATATCTACGTCAACCAATCACGTCTTGTGTAACCTATCACGTCTTTTTTTTTACACAAGACGTGATTGGTTGAGGAAAACGTCATCTAAACGGCTAAGGAAAACGTCATCTTCGCTAATTAGCGGTTAGCGGATTAGCGTAATATGCCTACCACTGCTCAGATCTGATACCTCGTCCAGTTACTGGCGCCCGCTTTCATGCTGCTTCCGTTAGAAAACTTCATTAATCACAAACTATTTTAGCTTAAATTCTTTTAAAATTCCTACCTTTTACGTTATAGTTTATGTTAGCCTCAGTTTCTTTAATTTTTTCCTGCAGTTTTGGAGAACGTTTGCAATACACGAATATTATAAGAATAACATGGGAACAAAATTGTATCAATGTATTTCCCCGAAAAACCTAAGATTAGTTTGCAGGAATGTTTCACTGCGGAAGTGACTAACGTTGAAACGAATTCATTTCGGTAAGCTGCAAATGTAAGATGACTCCCCTTTAAGTAAGACTCGCAGTCATCAAAGATAAGTAAAGCATCAAAGTGAATTCCCTGGTGCAGAACGTACATCAGTAAAGCCACACGTCGCAGCTAATCTCATAGAGCTCCTCGCCTTTCATCATCTTGGCTTCTAAGGCAGTTGTCACTTTGGTCACCTCTTAGCTTTCTGATTTGACTTCTACTTTTAATTGGTTCCAGGCATATTATACTTCAGTGTGACTTCACGTTTGTTAGTAAAAGCATATGAAATTTAAATAAGGATTTAAATCGAATTTAAATTGTAAAATTGTAGAACGACATAAATGTTAGAAGTATATTTAAATAAGATTTCCAAAATTTCAAATGTAAGTTTCATACTGAACGAGAACAAGTGCATTTCTGAAGTAGTCCCGTGATCTCACCTTAAAAGGCTTTCAGTCCAAAGATCGTTGCTCTCAACGGATCCCCGAACACCAAATACCAAGCTAAGTAAGTCGGCCTGCGCCGCGTGCTGTTCGCAAAGTGCTGCACGTCTCTGTTCCCCGTACGTGGGTCGATAGCTTGGAGAAATGAAGAGAGGCGCTAAAAAGCGAGTATTAGCGCGTGCATAAGAGTGCCCCTAGGTTAAAACTGCTGCGCTGAAGTGCTGCAAGCTGAAGGCAAGCGTAGACCGAGTGGTCAGGTCTGCATAGTGAGGACTGCATAGTGAGGACTGCATAGTGAGGACTGCATAGTGAGGTCTGCATAGTGAGGACTGCATATAGTGAGGTCTACATAGTGCGGCGTCTGAAGATCTACTGATCGGAAAGCCGGTACAGGCTAATGCAGAGAGTAACTACAACATTGTGGAAAATGCTATAGTCGTGGTACTGAAGTGTGCATTGAATTTTGAAGTCTAATTTTGATGTCTTGATTTAAGTTGTATCAAGTTCATAAATAGCATAGCAATTTTGTACAGTAAGATATATGATACTATTTTCAAAGAAATATCAGTTGAAAAGATGCTTGTAACGCATTCTGTTCAATGTATTTCTCGGCAATCGAGTAAAATTTACATTCAGAGAATCATAGAATAAACTGGATCCAAGACAATGCTCTTCCTAAATTCAGCGCCATATTAGCAGGTTAATAATATATCATAAACGACTCGCATACCCAATATAGTCACTGTTGATAAGATTGATGTTTCACCCGACTGCCAAATTCAGGCATGACTTTGGAAGTGATAACATTAGTGTATCTCATGTTGGTATATTCGATGATGGTGCGTGAGTAGAGAACATTTATTCGGCACAGTCCGGTCTTTAGTGCAGTCACTTCTGTGAAGTAGGCTGATCAAATAGCCCGTCAATTCCGACTAAAATGATAGCCTCTTGAATATAACATGTCACTGCGGAGCAACTTCTTATTCATTTTTGTTTGTTCCTTTTTTTGTACAACTTGGAAAGAATTTAAAATGCTAATTTGAGCAAGGCAATAACATAATGATCAGCCCGAATATATTATTTGAAGTATTTAAGCATTTTTTAATGTAACTCAATATCATTCATCTACTGTTTCGGCAGATATAATTTGCCTTATATATTCTATATCGACTGAGGATCATTTGTGTGTTATTGAAGCCTGGCAGCGTAAATACTTAAATGTTTTTCCAGAGAGGATATCATCTTACCTGATTAAACTTGAAGATAAAATTTTAAATTATAGGGCAATACAATCAGAACTAGAGATAAAATAAAAATGTTAAAAATACTTTTGTTTTGCTGAGTGCGCATATTATTTATAAATAACAAACTCAAGTATCAAACTTTGAGTAAAATGAGAGCTTCAAAGCTTCATCGTTCTTTCTACTTAACGTGATTGGTAGAGGCCTTAATTCAATAAACGTTCCTTAGTTTCAAAATAAATTAATTAGTGAGTGTTAATTAGTCTAATAACATTGTACAAATTGCACTATCATTAGACACCCAACTATTCCTGTAGCATTTCAAGGCTAACGCTTAATTTATGGAGACTAGGATAATTAATGAGTGTTGATTAATCTAATAATATTGTACGTAGTACAATATTATTAGACACCCAACTATTCCTGTAGCATGTCAAGGCTAACGCTTAATTTCTGGAGATCAGGATAACTAATGAGTATTGATTAATCTAATAATATTGTACGTAGTACAATATCATTAGACACCGAACTAATCCTGTAGCATGTCAAGCCTAACGCTTAATTTATGAGCTCAAGATAATTAATGAGTGTTGATTAATCTGATAATATTGTACGTAGTACAATCAATATCATTAGACACCGAACTAATCCTGTAGCATTTCAAGACTAACGCCTAATTCATTAGCTCAGGAGAACTAATGAGTGTTGATTAACCTAATTATATTGTACGTAGTACAATATAATTAGCATCCAACTGTTCCTGTTGCATTTCAAGGCTAGCGCTTAATTTCTGGAGATCAGGATAATTAATGAGTAGTGATTAATCTAACAATATTTTACCTAGTACAATATCATTAGACACCGAAATATTCTTGTAGCATTTCAAGGCTAACGCTTAATTTATTAGCTCAGGAAAATAACATTCCTAATTCGGTGCACAGACGCACCAGTGTGCGCGTCAGGGCAGCAGCAGGAATACATCGTCCCCCGGGGTGCTTCTGTCACCGTATCTTGTACGGTGGAGGCCTTCCCGCCCAGCGTGACCTTCACTTGGGCCAAGAAAAACCTGGCAGGTGAGGGATATTTTCTGGCATTTTCTGGCACTAGTGGCCGCACTGGGGCACTAAAGCCGTGGTCGTGGCCAATCGCTTTCTCTGCAGCCTTCTTACTGCTTGTTTACACACGCGTATGTGGCACTTATACTCAAAGAAAAGAGTGAGAATTTGATCAAATAGCGATGTACAGGGTAATAATGACCCAGTTTGGCCAGGCAAAGATGCGTATCAATTAATGCTCTGCTCGGCTTTGGTAAGCAAGTCTGTCAATTTTTGGACAATTTGACCCGTTACTCTTCTAAGTGTACTCAGAACACAAGTCATTATTGAAATCCTCATCTTGGCAAGAGTGAATAAGTTCTTTATGCCCAGCGAGTTATATCTCTAATGAAAACTCATTAGGCAGAGCATCAAAACTAATTAAGATTTCTGTACGACTCCGTGTAACAGCTAATTAAGGTTCATGCACATGGCGCCGCTAGTGGCAGCCACTGAAACTACTTAAATTGAACTACTCAAATTGAACTACTTAAACTAAACAAGTTGAACTAAATTATTGGCTACTAACAGCCCATAAGAAACGTCAGCTGACCGCGTGCATTGGCGCCACTAGCTGGCCCAGCATAGAAAGGTCTCCGGGAAGGCATTGATTTTACAGCCGTCAAAATTTAGCTTTTCTTTCCTTTCTTGAAAGTATATTTACAAAAAGGAACTGTCTTTCACCAGCAAATTGAGAGCTTTCTTGGGAGCGAGGAACGTTATTTATTCGATAACTTTGATAACTTTTTATGCGTCAGCTATATTAATTTATATTTTTGTTCTCCAGATCATCGAAGTATGAAGATCAAAAAAGTTGTCGCTGAAATAAGTCTTTCCCCAAAATAATCATTAGATCATATTTTGTCAGTCTTTGGATATGCAGTGGCCACGAATTAATTTTTCTTAAATGGAATTGCATACGGTTGAATCTGAATAATATTTAATGACATTTCGCGAACGAGTAGGCACGTTTATTCTACGGATTTATATATCGGTTTATAGATGTATTGAATTATTAAAAAAATTCAACTCCAATTAAAATTACAATTTTACAATGCTCATAAGAGAAATTTCATTTTAATTTTAGTTTCGGTGATGGTCGCAATAATGATAAAGAAATGAAGAGCGGAATTCAATTAGACATTTTTTTCTTAACCTCGATAGTTGTAGCAAGTCTCCGTCTGCTAGGAAAGGGACAAAAAAAAGAAGTTTGTCGGTCAGCAACAGAACTTTTCGGCGATATCGTCCGACAATTAGCTACTTCAACTTAAGAAGTTCTGTTCGCGAACTTAACTGTCGACGTCTTAGTTCTTACCAGCTTGTTTTAGTAAGGACTTGAGATCCCAAATAATGCAGGAAAACCAAATTGCGATATTATAATTGTGAAGCTTTGACCTTTAATACGAAATGTTGTGCGAATACGAAGATGTCCAGTATCGATGAAGACATGATTGAAATTGCGATGTTTTTCCACTTTCAAACGGTATCTCCGGTTAATATCTGTAGGAAAAATATAACAATAATTCATTTCCCAAGCTGAAGGAATATTTCTTGCTGGTAATATCTAATTCTAAAGAAAGCAATAAGTTCATCAAATAATTAGGAGTCCCAAAAAATTCAAACACAGATTTAAGAAAAAATTCATTTTTACCGTATTATAGAAACTTCCTTAAATATTCAATTAATTGCTTCCTAAAAATTACCAAAATGTCTTTTAACATTAAAATTTAATTCAATAATTTAATTAAAGTTCTGTATAAGCTTTCTTGAACATCAATCTGTTAAAAAATCAAGGAAACTCATTTCAAGTATTAACAAATTTTAACGAAGTTATACAGTATATACTAAAAATTTAAACGTACTTCTAATTAAAAAATTACCATAAATTATGCTCGTTAAAAAATAAATTAAAATTACCATAAAAAAAGTTTCTTCAAGAATCATGTAGTTTTACCGAAAAGTACCAAATTTCTGATGGCTTCCACTCCGCCTGCCCCGACCTCAGCTCCAGCAACTCGTCTGCCAAACGTCGGGCGCCCCGAAGGGTCAGTGGGACGCTACACGGTGCCTGCCGTGTACGAAGACCAGCTCGAGATTCTCTGTTGGGCAAAGAACGTTGTCGGCTCCCAGAAAGTTCCTTGTTCATACTACATTTATGCTCAGGGTCAGTAATTCGTTAATTTAAGTAAAAAGCACAAAATAATATGAATCTTAAATACTTTGAGCGTTACAGCTGAAAGTTTATGGTGGTATGCTGAATAAGTGGGTGACATTCAAACAATCCTTTAGGTCATCTTTGAATGATAAACTTTTGGAATAAAAAATTAATGAGGTTTTTATGAGAGATGATAGTGCAAGTTCGCGAACTCAGAATTTTCCAATAATAATGCTTGATATCGTCGAAATCATTTTAGTTTTACTCTACAAATCCCATTAGGAATTTTTGAACCCTTATTTTGAATGAAACTTTTTATTAGCCACATTTTTGTCACTAGACGCTAATCTGCTGCCATTTTTTTAAATACGTTAGGATTTCAATTGCCAATGTATTAAACCCATACAGAACGATTACTTAAAAATGCCAGGCATTAAAATTAATTAATTTAGAGTTATTTCTTTCTTCGTTATAACTAACTGGTCCGTTTAAAATCAAGGCAGGATTCACACAGAATAGAGTACAAAATACTATACAATATACCCCGCAGTATGTTATACTCCCAAACACACTATTCTACGATATAAAATTTAAACACCATATAAAATGCGATATAAAATGTACCCCCATGCACAAACTGTAGATAAAAGTTATATGCCCCGTTTAGGGCGGCCGGGACCAGTAAACAACTGCAGCGTCAGCAACCACACGGCCACGGGCTTTGTCGTGTCCTGCCACGGTTGGCCACGACGGGGCAGCCCACTGGACTCTAACTACACCCTGCTTCTGTATAATCAGGTTAATAATTACCTTATATTATACACTGGATTCTAACTACACCCTGCTTCTGTATAATCAGGTTAATAATTACCTTATATTACACACTGCATTCCAACTACACCCTGCTTCTGTATAATCAAGTTAATAATTACCTCATATTATACTCTGGACTCTAACTATACCCTGCTTCTGTATAATCAGGTTAATAATTACCTTATATTATACCCTGGACTCCGACTCTGACTACACTTCTCAGCTTCTGTATAATTAAGTTTATAATGACCCTATCCGATTAACTTATCTCAGCCGTGTATTGATTTGTGATTAAACTTTATGCAAGTCTATTTCGATTCCCTCTGACGAAGTTAAAAGCTATAAAGGCATTTGTAATTTCAAGTCAATTTTTCTCTAATATATTTATTTTGTAAAGACGAATGAATTTCAACTGAAAATATGTTGTTTCACATAATATGGAGCAAAAAGTATTAGAATTTTTGTTAAAATTCTGCCAGTTTATGAATGTACTACGCGCGAAATTAATGCCTTGTTTTATATGATTTTATGAGGCAATAACCTATGATTTGGGTTCGATAACCTTCATGGAGGTATAAGTAGCTTTTTTATGACTTATAATACCGCGTTATGGGTCCACCGGGCAAACGAGTAAGGCAGACTTTCATTGCCATGGCAACAAGTCCTGGCTTTTTACTTCTTTGCTGCTTTGCTCGATGGCTTCAGAAAAAGCAAGGCAATTCTTCCAGCTTGAACGCAGTACGGTCCGAATTTTTGTTGTGAAGTGTTTTAGTGTTTGGAGTGACTGCGTACGCTGGCTTAGTGTCAACTGTGGGCCCTTTACGTATACGAAATTGAATTTACATTCACGTAAACGTTTAAAACGTTTACGAAATTGAGTTTACGAAATGATATTTTATACACAAATTTTCCATTATGTTATCATTTGTTAACATTATTTATACGTTAAACCACAATTTTAATGAGGGTTTCCATCTTTCTGGTATGTACTTTATCCACTATTATATTTTATTGCAATAAACAATTCCTACTATAGAAAAAAATTAGTGAATGCCGCGACTCGATTTGCAGCTTCAAACACTGAGACTAATCTTTACCCGAACTACTCCATTGGAAATATTAGAATAGAATTAGTTTTCTCTTTGATTTCCAACGAAATTAACTCTACTCCCTTGTTTCCAAACGCAGGTGGGTCGAGTCAATCCCGAGTTGATGGGAGAAGATCTCACTGGAAACTTGGTGCCGTCGGTGACCAATTTCAAAGAGAGCCCGCAAGTCAAAGGGCAACATCACCCTGGAATGACCGTAGCCGAAATTGGCCTGCAGAGAAACACGGTCTCTAAACCAGCAACCGAAGCCACGGCAGCAAAAGAAGATGCAATACCGCGGTCCAGCGTCCTCACATCGCTCGGAGATTTGGTTCGAAACATCACCAGCACAGAACCTTTATTTGTGTAAGTCCCGCATCTGGGGGAGAATACAGAACCATCATATAGATAGAATTATTCGATCATTTTATTAATAATTAATTAAAATGTATGAGATTACTTTTACCTGCAAATCATCTTTGTCTGATATTCGAGCAACTCGGTTGTCAAGGCCTTCTTATAACTTCATATAATCGTGAAATCCAACGAGGAAATGTTTTTAGTATGAGTACTCCCGACTCGCAAAAAAGAATAACACGAAGTATAATTAATTTGATCTGAAATTTATAATTCCCACTATAATAAGTGAGTAGAAATTTGAGATGTCTTTATGGGAGAGCGTTGCAGAACTGTGTGACTTGATACATATGACTGCCAATGTTTTGCACCATATTAGCTTCTCAGTGGACCGCATCTGCCCAAAACTTTTCTCCCTTAAATTGCCCTGTGCAATATGTCTGCCCATGTTGTGTAGCTGTGCTCCTTCTTGCCCCACTCTTACTTAACCCCCAGCACCAAGCACTTGCCTACATACTGTGTTCCTCACCAATCCCCTAGGTCCCCGAGCTTACCCATGTTGTGCCCCCTCTTACCTTTCCTCCGTACCCCACGATTGCCCCATGCTGTGCCCCCACCTCTTAACTGTCCCCCGTACCCACGCTTGCCCATAAGTGAGTCATGGAGGTGTTATAAGTGTGTCATGGAGGTGTTATAAGAGAGTCATGGAGGTGTTATAAGTGAGTCATGGAGGTGATATAGGCGAGTCATGTAGCTGTTATAAGTGAGTCATGGAGGTGTTATAAGTGAGTCATGGAGCTGTTATAAGTGTGTCGTGGAGCTGTATAGGTGTGTCATGTTGCCGTTATAGTTGAGTTATGGTGCTGTTATAGATAAGTTATCGAGCTGTTGTAGGTGTGTCATAGAACTTTTTAGAGTGAGTAACATCTCCATGATGCACATGTCACAGGCCAATTTTTTTTTACTTTCTAGCTTAGAAAATTGCAAAAATTTGTCAGCGTTTTCAAGCCTCAGTGAAGTACTGATCTGGATTGGTTCCAGCGTTGGATAAAATTCCCTTTTTTAGCCTAGTTTCGTGAAGTTTAACTGAGAAAGTTATGCCTGGAATTTATTGAATTATTTAAAAAAAATTCATGTAATCTAACATTCTTTTAATGACGCTCAAATAAATTTTATTCTATTTTATTACATATACCATTTTCTGTCAAAAAATATTGCAAATGAAATTAATCTTTTGTCTTTTAGGAATTGAGTGTCACTAGCTTGAATTTCCTGATGAACGATGTTATTATTAATGCTGCTTCGAAGATATTTGGATGCTACGTACAATACTTGCCCCGTCACTGACGAAATAATTCTATTCCAGTTGTGGGTCAATAATATAAATCGCAATGAATATAATAAATAAAATGACTAATGAAATTGATGTATATGATGACTAATGAATATGATAGCTATAATGAATGATAAATATGATGAATAAAATGACAAATGAATACGATGACTATTATGAGTGATAAATATGATTAATATGATGACTATAATGAATGATATTTGATGAATAAAATGACAAATGAATATGATCACTATAATGAGTGATAAATATGATGAATATGATGACTATAATGAATGATATTTGATGAATATAATGAGTAATTAAAATGATGAATATAATGAATATACTGGCCCTCTTATATCCATACAGGATTACCAGGAAGCATAGCCAGGTCTCCCCTGAACATCCCAATCGCTCGCTCCGAGTCCGGCAGCGCCTCCATCGACAAGAACGGCCACGGTACCCTGACGAGTATCTATGATACCGTTGGACGACAAATGCCCCCCCAGGGGCAAGACGGGGGCACCCCATCGTCAGGTAGCAGCGGTCAGTCTGAAGCAGGGGGTACTGTGATAATCCCACCCATGTTCCTGCTGCTAGCAGGGTCCTTGGTAGCGATTATCATGGTGGCAACTATCGTCATATTCACCATCAGAAGAAGGGGCCAAATCAGGAAGAGGAGGGAAGCTGAACAGGTTTGTTATGCTAGGATATTTCGTTTGATGCTCAAATTAGGATTTTGTTGTTCAATCTTCATTTGATACCTTACTGTTCAAAATAGGATGGTGATTTTGTTGTAAAATCTTCAGGTGACAAAACTTGGCGATGAGAGAGTTGCGTCTTCATATGAAAATGCATGAACTATTTGTGGTGAAAAGATACTCGTAATAATTATAACTCAGAGCAATCAAAATTTTTATTTCTATAATACAGGTCAAAATCTCCGAAAGTCAAGAATATTATCAGGCACAAGAATCAGTCACGGCAGAAACGGTTATACCAAACTCAGGTGTTGAAAGGAAAACTTCAGGTAACTGACACCTTGTCTGATGAAAAAATATATTTTCGCTGAGAATGACTGAGGGGGAATGAAATTTAAACTCTTTTCTAACGTCATCCACCTCTGTCACGAGTGATTCCTTCAAATGTTATAAATTTTTTTTTAATTCTTTGAAAATTTCATATCTATGAGAATTAAACTAACTAAATAAGTCTCATATTTAAGTCTTATTTATCCTTGCAGGGGCAACAGATGATCAAAATTCGTCCTGCGACTCTGACTCGACGCACTTGAAGACCCACAAGGTAACAGTGGACGTGCTTGGTCCAGACTCCGGTGGACCAATGGACGGGAGAGGGAACCAAGACGGTGTATCCAGCGATAGCAACGAAATGCTGATAACACCTACGCTGGGGCGGGAGAAAGGGATTAATATCATTGCTCTGGGCGAGAAGCCCGCAACTAATTTTGACGCGTCAGCAGTTTTGACCTCTGCAGGAAATTCAGGTTTTCGTGTCAGGTCTGGCGTCGACCATCAATCTACAAACTTTGGAGTGCAAACTTCTGGCATTTTGAGAAGATCTTGTTTAAATTCCACTCCCAATTTAGCAACTATCAGTGGTCTCGCTGGGGATTTAGAGTACAATATTGCAGCTCACGGTGAGACGAATTTGTTGGGAAGCGGTGCATTGCAGAACTCTACGGGACACGCAACCCTTGGTCGGACACCGTCTGTGAGTACAGAATATACAATGTATATACACTGTATATTATAAAATTTAATAATTATATTTATATGGTACATATTGTTAAAATTTGTATATTGTATTCATATTTTTTGGTACAAGTATTTATAAACATAATAATGAAATACAAACATAAATGGCTTAATGTGACAGAAGCAATGTTTCCTTGAAATAATGAATGCTTAATTGGCAATCTTTCGTATTTCACGGAGATTAGTTAGTTGCTCATTGTGATTAGTTGTGAGTTTTACTAATTTAATCACAGTGAGATTAGTTTCTACATGCAATTATTGCAATTGTGTGATTCAAACACGTCCCGAATACGTTAATTAAATATGATCGTAATGAACAATGCGTGTCAAAAAAAATTTCTAAAAACTTAACTCGATTTTCGAAAAACTTTCACTCCCGCAGTTCAGCGCAGTTCGTAACGGGACAAGTTACCCGGCGACCCTGGGAAGAAATTTGTCGGGCTTTGCAGTTCTCGAGGTCAGGGCTGTCATGCTACCGCAAAATTTGTGCAAAACATCGACAAACAAAAGTGTTACTGTTTTCACTCACGGAAAATTATGAAAGGTTGCATGATAACAAAAATGTAGTGATATATATAGCAATGAAGCCGTTACTTTGCCATGAAAATTAAGAGGAGGAAGAATGATGCCAAAATAATGATAAAATGTGGTTCAATGAAGCGGTTTCTTTATTATGGAAATTCATGGGAGGTAGAATGATGCTTTTAATGACAGTAATGCATTGAATGAACAGATGTAAAAAGAGAAGGTAGAGCGGAAATAATTTGTTTTTATGTAGCTTTTTCACATCTGTGATATTTTGCTTTACAGGTGGATCGCCTTCGCCACACTTCACCGTCTCAGCCACTAGGTAAGGAGCCCGAAATTTCTAATTGGAATGTTTTTAAAACTTTGCATTAATTTGTATCTTAATCGTATTTTTCCTGTTTGCATTTTATGATTTATTCAAAAATTTGTATATACCTAAGTATGGTATATGATATGCAATAAGCTACTTTTCTACAGAAGCGATATCTTGTGACGGGGCAGTTTATTATTCCAGCTGACATCTCTTATGGAATTCTGCTCATTTACGTAATGAAATTCTGTTTTATTTTAATACTAGCAGCTAGAAATGGTAGTGTCGACATTTTATTACTGAAATTTAGGTGTAGACTTTTTCCCGGAGTATACGCTCGTATATATATCAAAATCATTTAAATTTTAAATAAATGCCCTTTTTTCTAACCAAAAAGAATAAGATAAGATAAGCTTATTTCTAAAATTTTTGGTACCAATTTCACTGCTCCTGCTGTATAAGTCGTAGCGGCATCACATTCGAGGTATATATCTGCTTAGCGTTAATGCATGTAATTTAGTTTTTGTTATCAAAGTAAATAAGGAAAAATAGAAAAATGCTTTTAGGAAAGCATCTGTGAATTATTACGGTTCAACAGTTTCTAATAATGCATCAGGTCAATAGTGCACAATAAAATTTCAATGCTATGAATATGAGTAACTAGGGCACTCACGTAGGTCCGAAATAATGCAGCAAATTAGGAGCAAAAATGTAAAATAATTCATAGGCTGTGATTAAATTGAATTTCCGGTCTTAAATAAATGCAAAATTAACGAATATTTCTGTAATCACATTTCCAGGTAGGACGATAACGAGCACATCATTCCCATCACCACCAACAGTGCCCAGCAGATCAGGGGTAGTTTTTTCTTCCACTATTCCTACATCCATCTCCACGAGGCCTCCATCGCAAAGCCAAATCTCACACGATGGATCTATAGCACAATCAAGCTTCAACATGGCCAAAATCCCATCTTCCGTAAGCCAAATTACATTTAGCGGGGATTTCTCCCAACAGCAGTTCACAGGTTTCACGCCGCCTCCCCCGCAACTCACTATGCCTTGCTCAACTATTGCTAGGACTACTAATGCTTCTTACCCTCATGCCCATATCCTCCCGCCCTCCCTATGCTCAGGCGCCGAAGCACGAAATGTTATTTCTTACTTCGACGTACGAAGCGGAATACCAGGAGTACCGACTACTAATTATGGAATACCGTTATCTCCTGGTATCAATGTTACGATGGGAGGAAATTCAACGGGGGTTCTGAAATTGGACAGCGTTAATCAAGTTTGTGGTGTCCCGGTAAGCGGAAGTAGAGCCCCGACTTCGGTAGTTGACAAGGGCGGATCACAAAATTTTCAGTATGACAAGAGCGATGAAGTTCCTGGGTTTACCAATTTAACGCCGACTGTAAAACCATTTAGTGAAACTTCTTTGGCTCGCCCAAGTGAAGCATGTGAAAGAAGTGACAATACAGAGGCCTTGAACACAAGCGGCAACGTGAGAATTGGCTCTCCATCTCGCAGCGCAATGAGACACGGAGCACCGAGCATCGGTCCGAAGCCGACGGTGTCTTTTGATATCGACGAAAACGTGCCTCAAACTTCCAAGAAAAAATCAGATATCCAGGAAAGTTTAAGCTCTTTGTGAGCGTATTTTGAACATGTTCATCAATATATAAGTAATAAAACTTATGGTTTGTTGTGTTGAGGACACAAAAATTTATGAACGAGCGTTTGAACAATATTGAAAGTTACAAATCTATTGAGATTCTATATAGAAAAATATTTACTCCATTTTAAATGAGGATGAATTACCTTTTATACGCTGTTTTCTATGGCTTTCGTGGATGAACTTCAGCTGAAGATGTAAATAATTTAGGTTTTTCAATATATCTTATATATATGTATGCATTTTTCAATTATATGTCATTATTGACGATAATTAAATGATTTTGCCGCAATTTTTAGAGAGTTGATCTCTGAGGTGAAGTGCAAATGACTCGATCGAAAAATTTATTCAATCATGTAATAAAATAAATTGAGACCGCACTTTTCGTGCATTAATTTATGCATCGTGCGTAAGTTATATTTATTTAACATGAATGAAATGAAAAGTTTTCCTTCTTTTAAGTATGCAAGAAACTACCCTAGGACTTCAATTTTACGCGGGATTCGGAGTATCCTTAGATTATTTTTTTAGTACAATATTTGTAAAATCATGTTGTTCATATACATTTTATTATCCCTTTGATAATAATATTAATAATTATGGTATAATTATGCAGCAATTTGTCAGGTAAATAGGGACAGGTATTATTTTTATATCTACAATGATTAATATCGAATTTCGTTGGCATCGCACGAAAAAAGGATCGAGGTTATAAATGCTACATTTGAGGTTGCAGGATGAAGCTTTTTAGGATGAAATAAAAGTACGATATTTGATAAATGTTTGATGTACGAATGAATGTTTACTAGAATGTTGAATAATTGTTCACTCTGCTGTCCAAATTTGATGTCATTTTCAATTATCACTAAAGCTCTCAATTCTAGGTTTTCAAATTGCAGCGATTACTCTACGGATATTACGCCTAATATTTAAGTACTGAGCAAATTTTATGAAACTCCATAAAGAAATTTGTGCTATTTTAAAAATGGTTTTAGGTGCAACAGAGGACCAAATCTCAGAATTTTTTCAATTTACTGATAATTTGGTGTATCAATTACATATTTTAAAATCTTTTCTTACTCACAAGAGGCATTACAAAAACGTAACTTAGCAAGACAGCAATAGAACAGCAGTTTCGTAAACAGCAAAATTACTAATATTTTGGCAAGAAAAAACTTTATACGAGTACCACGAAGATAAATTTTGCTGATATATATCGTAAAATTTTTTAAATTAATTTTTACCCTACCAATTCGTTGTTATCAGCTCAAAAAACTCTCCGTGCGCTGAACGGTAATATAACAACAGTAGGAAACATTCTTGCGTGTCAGGTATGCAGATAAAAAAACATTAACAACGATAAAATCTATCGAAAATTATCGTATAAAGAGTAAGAATGTAACCTGTATGCGCATAAACTTTTCTTCTTTGGAAACTGGCTTAGGTATATATACTATAACTATTCGGAACACGGAATATATGTCAAAATTATTAATAAATGTTAATGTTAGATTTTGGAAAACAAAAAACCTGAAGCAATAACACTACTGATCCGAGTTTCATGGATCCCTGCGAATTCATTTGCAAAATTTCATTTTCAGACTGAACAATGCCTTGGCTAATAATATTTAAAACATTATAGGAATTTGTGCTCAAGATTCGATGAACTTTTATTATTGTAGAAATCGAGTATCTACCGATACCCAATTTCTATTTCTAGATCATCCAATACTCGAATGATCCGGGTATCGTAGGTTGTACTGATCAGTTATACGAGAAACTCGTATAACCGATCGAGAGTTTTGATTATACCGAAACTCTTATCGTAGGTTATACTGATATAGATTCTATTGTTAGATTATATTGTTATCATTTATACTTATAGACTGAGTCACACGTGCAGTATTATCATTGGAAGCCTTTATCTCTATTTTATAGGGTAATATGCCTTCATTACGTGAAAATAAAATATCTACGAAAAATGATTTCATTTACCTGGTGCTTCATATCAGATTTTAATTCACCTCATAAACTCTCTATTTAACAATAATTATAAAGCGGACCCTATCAGGACCCAAGTAAGCCGAAAACACGAGTCTGTTGCAACAATCACCACAGGATTCATTCAGCGCTATTACCCCATTTAGGGTAATAATATACAAAAGTAAATCTTCCACTGATCGTTTTCGGGAAACATTAAAGATTAAACGAATAAATATGAACGCTGAGCCTTTGATACTGCGGAAAACCAACGTCTTGGTAAGTTAATAGCTAAATTAAATTTAAAATAAAAAATTTAATATTAAAATGCACTTAAAATACAAGGACTTAAACTGAGAATTTCTTATGTAAAATATTACGATTATAAAAGTTTTACGTTTGACTTCCTAAAAAGCCAGAACTGCTTAGCTTCATAAACTGCCATTTAATTTCTTAGATTCGGAGCCTTGCTCTGACTGTAGAATCAAATGAAACGATAGAAAAATACAAGGCATGACTAACGAGGTCACGTTTGTGGCGAATTGAAGATTTGATCAGAAGTGACAACTATCCTATAGTGAAATTAACTTGTATATTGCACAGCGTTTAATGGCATGACAATCGAAACCCCGAGCTATCAAAGGAAATGAAACCCCGAGAAAATGTTCTACGACTCAAATTGCACCGCAAAATCGACCATGTAATGAATTTCTGTTCAATGAATAGCAAATATTCTACGACACAGATCCTTGTACTGTCTCTTCCATGGAATTAATTTCTGTTCGACGAATAGCAAATTTTCGTCAAACTTAGGATGAATAAGAGGTGAATGTATGACGGAAAATGAGGGAACGCAAAAAATAAGCTCCTATGATTTTGAACTTGGAAGCGGCGTAGACCAGGTAAATGGTATTGAATATTTTAGTAGAAGATTTACTAGATAATCAAGATCGTAATGCCCGGAACTCCTACAGATAGAATATTGAATGAGTCATGTTGAGCTCTTTATCGTGTGTAGTTTTTCATCGTAGAAAAACTAACACTTACAATAAGATAACGATAATTACGATAATGATCAACATAACGCAAATGATCATTACGGTAATGATCATAACGATACTGATCAACATTAGTTTGCACTACATTCAGCGGATTCAATGAATCACTTCACTGGATTAAAATAGATATTGAATGAAAATACATTGAATAAAAAACCTTTGCGCGTGAACACAACAAAGCCAAAGTCGTTCAAATAGACCTTAACGTCTTATTCAATACGACTGTTAAAAAAAATTTTCGTCCAAAGAATGCCGCAATGCTTCTTCTTTGATCGTAAGAAGTACTCCTGTCGTCTGAGATGCCCCGAAATTTCATTAGATCGAGTCTCGAATAGCAAGACAGAAAGTATTGCATGCAATTGTTTAGCAGTAGGGGGATGCACCAAGCAATCGATTTTCTGAAGTTAAACGTGAAAACACCTTTTTATGTTGAAACTTAGAGGCTTTTTGGCCTTCATTGAGCAGATACAATGATTATATAATCTATAAGTAGAGCTGACAACTATTTTAATCAATATAAGTTGTGTAATAGAGACAAATTTCTGAGTTGAACTAAACTGGAGATGAAATGATAAAAATTATCAAACTTGCGTTGAAGAAAGCTCTACGCCATATATGTGAATGAGAAGCGTTTTAATTTTTGGTGAAGCGCTTAGCTTTACAACAATTGTCTGCTTATCTCAGACCTATGTACATCCTATTCCTTGTATTTCAGTTCCAGTGTTTGTATTTGCCTGCATACAAATTAAATTCAAATAATCAAGGAAATATACCAAATGACATATTTTTACACCCATTCCTATGAAGAATGTAAATTCGATCTGAGAAAATTATTTTTTTTTCACGGCACAAAACAACAAGAAAAAGTATAATTATGAGCAAACTGTTTTCCGCAATAACAACTGTTTTCTGCAAAAATTGTCTGCAATAATAACGATGACTGTTTTCTGCAATAATAAGTTACGGAGGTATTTCAAAATTTACATTCTATTAGCTTAGCTGTCATGCCCGTGTGCTGGTTCTGCAATACTTAAACTCTCTGACGATCATGTTGAAAAGTATTTTAATCGTCTGATTAAAATTCTGATTAATTCGAACATACTTGCGAGACGACTGACGGGAGAATTTCTGTTCCACAATTGAAGCAAAAAGAGAAATAAGAGTTATTAAAATTTTTATTTCCTGAGAACAATGATGCTATTACGTGATAATCGCAAGTGACCAGATTAATGAGTACAAGCTTTGGATGGAAGGGAGTTTTCTTAAATTAATAATAAATAATTATATACGAAAACCCGAGCGCCTAGGTTTATGTGAATAAAATTACCATGTTTTTAACGAGGTACAAAGTAGAATGTTTGAATTAAGCTTGAAGAAGCATCGGTATACAGAGAAAACATGTGGCTAAGTTATTTCCGGTAGAATCGTATCTTTGAGAACCTTCGGCGAAAACATAGCACTTAATATTGAAAGGTTCCGACCAGCCAAATGTTTTTGAGTTGATGCCTGACCAGCATTAGAATTCAAATGGGTGTATGGGAAGGAAAAATTATGGTTTTCGATTCAGCCAAATCCCTAACAATGGTTGAACGAGAATTAATTTTCATTAAAATACAAATGTTTGACAACCGCACATTAAACGGACTACTAACGACGCTTCTGCCATATGGGCCATAAAGGAAAGTTAGAAACAAAATTAATAACCGTTGATAACGAAATTAAATGAGATCCGTTCTTAACAAAATGACGGTCAAGTTCTGAGTATTTCTTTTCAAACGTTCTAAATTTTTCACCCACTTGCGACAAAGAAATCGTGCAAACACCTGGAATGAAAAAGAAATTCGAAGAAACCTAAATCATAAGCAGGATTAAATGAGTCCTAGACACAGCAATTCATTATCGCAGTCATCTATTTCAACCGTTTTAGTATCTAAACTAGCAAAACCCATTGATATACATGAAACTTATTTAGCTTTGAAGTATCAACAAACTTCACAAATATGCATCGTTGTTATCATATTCATTTACCTAGAATACGTTTCCGACATCTGCTATATGAATTGTTTCAAAATCTTCAGATTTACCTCAGACACCGATTAATTCTAATATCCCAAAAATCATAACTTTCGTCTCCCAAAACGTTATAAAAATGAAAATTGATTTTCCAATAATGGTGCAAAGTTCTA